TTCCTGGAGGTGGCTCAGGACATGAGGGTGGAAGTGGAGTCAAGGGAGGACGACCAGCTCCTTTTAGTCTGCCAGGACTTTCTGGTCTTTACCACTGAACATCCCATGTCTCAGGAACTCTCCATTCTGGGTGAACCAGGCTGGTGGGTCACCCTAAGTGGAGGACAAGAATATCTCGGAGAAGCTAGATTGTAGGTGGGTGTTCTGTCAGCTGTAGTCACCTGTCACCCAGGATTTATCTTGTGGGCCCATGTCATTTTTTTGCCACACTATATATGACTCCTCACACATGCGTTCTCATCAGTGGGACCAGACTGTTTCCTAGTCCTGAACTCTAGGAATAAAAACTATGTTAAAAATGGCAAATATTTTTTTAAAAACTTTTTAAAAAGGACTAATATTTCTTTCAAGAATGGGAACAGGAAAGCGTGGCTACATTGGTATTTTCAAGTCTACAAATTTAGGTTCATTTTATTCAGAGCCTTAAAAAAATCATATCAACAAGAGTCCAACAGCGAATTCTTTTCTTTCTATTGGAAATTTAACTACCAATTTGCTGAAATAGCATCTATTTTCTCAGAAATCTAATAATGATAATTTTCCAGGCTCCATGAAAAGATGATATACAAATATCGTAATTTCATTTACTCAAGCACAGAAATCATATCAGGAATGAAACAGTCTTTGGTTAAATAGACAGACTTAGTTTTAAAACAGATTTTACACCCCACATGCAGTACACAGCACAAACACATCAACATCATTGCAACTCAAATTTCACAATAATTGACTTGCTGTTACAGCAACCAAATAAGAATCAATAAATTATTCTCGAGAGGTTTTATTTTTAGAACAGTATTTTATAGTTCAATTGCTTACAAGAAATACAGACTTTTGGAAAAATTATACAAATACCTTTCAACCAGAAAGCAACTCTCTGACAAAGAGCCAATATAGGCGAGGCATATTGAGACACATAATGTCAGAATTATACTCTGTGTGTCAAAACATGGCTATATACAGTCACCGTAAATAAAAACGTGGTTCAGATAGACTTTAGTTGGCTTAACCACAGAACTAAGAGAAGAATTCTTTCCCACAATATTTAGAGGAAGATTGCTAGAAATCTTGTTCTTGGCTATGAAATCAGTGGAGAATCATTATGTACAGACTTGGATACTTATATACACCTATAGCTTACTCAACATGTTTATGTCAGAAACTTGAAGACAGCTTTCCCTTCCAAGTGTCCCACATGAAATCTGTGCAGCAGATTTGTGGAATTCCTATTAATTTGTATTCAAGGTTAAATTGAATACATTTAGAAAACTTTAAAAGAATTCCTATATCTCTTCCACAAATGCATATGTGAATCGTTATCAAAAGAAATGGCTATCTCTTTTCTGCTAAGTTTTGCCCCACAGCTCAGTTCCTTATTTTATTAAGGACTAATGAGAGAGATCATAAATGCGTTATTTAAACCAAGCCTTCAATCTTGTTTATGGTCAATGTGTTGCTCTGAGATAATTGTAGACTCTGAGATAGTCGTTGATAATCGTAGATTTACATGCAGTAGTGAGAAATAACACAAAAAGATTCTTTTACCTGGTAATATCTTGCTAAACTATATCACAGCCAGAATTCTGACATTGATTGGGTCAAGATACTGAACATTTCCATCACCACAAGGATGTCTTGTGCTATCCTTTTACAGTTATATCCTCCTCTCTCATTCTCCTCTCTTCTCCCCGGTAACCCTTAATCTATTCTCCATTCCTTTAGTTTTGCACTTCAAATGTTATATAGGTGAAACAGTACAGTACGTAAACATTTAGGATTGGATTTTCTCAGTCAGCATAATTCTCCCGAGATTCATGCGACTTGTTGCCTGTATAAGGAATTAGCTCCTTTTTATTGCTGAGTAATACTCCATGGCATGGATGCACCGCCGTTTGTCTCACCAACCACCCACTAAAGGACATCTGGATGTTCCCAGGTTTTGAATATTATGCATAAAGCTGATATGAACATTCATGTCCAAGTTTTTCTGTGAACTTAAGTTTTCATTCCTCTGGGATAAATGCCCAGGAGTACAATTGCTGGTTGCTATGGCAGTTGTGTGCTTCGTTTTATAAGAAACAGCCAAATGGTTTCCAGAGTGGATGTCTGAATGCACTATTTCACAGTCCCACCAGCAGTATATGACCGATGCCATTTTTCTGCACCTTTGCCAACTTTTGGTGTTGTTGCTACTTTTTATTTTAGCAATGTTGGTAGGCAGGTAGTGACATCTCATTGTGGTATTAGTTTGAGGTTCCCTAATTACTAATGATGTTGAATATCTTTTCAGCTGGGCACGGTGACTCACACCTATAATCCCAGCACTTTGGGAGGCTGAGGTGAGAGGACTGCCTGAGCCCACGGGTTCGAGACCAGCCTGGGAAACTTGGTGAGACCTCATCTCTAGAATAAATCAAAAAATTCGTTGGGCTTGGTGGCGTGTACCTGTAGTTCCAGCTATTTGGAAGGTTGAGGTGGAAGGATTGCCTGAGCCCAGCAGTTTGAGGCTGTAAGTGGCCATGATCGTGCCACTGCATTTCCACCTGGACAACAGAGTGAGATTCCGACTCAAAAAAAAACCAAAAAACTTTTCATGGGCTTATCTGCCATTTGTATATTCTCTGCAGTGAAGTATCTGTTTATGTTCTTTATTTTCTGGTTGAATTATTTTTGTAACTGTTGAGTTTTGAGAGTTTTTAAAATATATTCTAGGTACCAACCAGGCTTTTGTCAGATATGTGGTTTGCAAATATTTTGTCTCAATATATAACCTGTCTTTTCATTCTCTTAATATAGTCTTTTGCAGCACAAAAGTTTTAAATTTTGATGAAGTCTAATTTATCAAATTTTCCTTTTATAGGTTGTGCGTTTAGTGTCAAGTCTAAGAACTCTGCTTAGGCCTAGGTCTCAAATACTTTCTATTTTTTTCTATAGTTTCATAGTTTTACATTTTATGTTTAAAGATATGATCTGTTTTGAGTTAATTTTTATAGAAGGTGTGAAATTTAGTCTGAGTTTCATTTCATTTGCCAGTGGATGTCCACTTGTTCTAGCACATTTGTTGAAAAGACTATCCTCCTTCTGTTGAATTACTTTTGTATCTTTGTTAAAAAAAAATCCATTCAATATATTTGTGTGGGGCTATTTCTAGATTCTCCATTCTGTTCCACTGATGCGTGTATCTATGTCTCCACCAATACCATACTGCCTTGGATACTATAACCATTTAATAAATCTTTACATTGGGTAGAGTAATTTCTCCTCCTTTATTCTTCTTTTACAAGATTGTTTTAGCTACTCCAAAACCTGCGGAATAACTTTGAAAGTAAACTTGTAGATGTCAACAAAAACCTTGCTGGAATGTTGATAAAAATTGCATTAAATTTAGAAATCAATGAAGAAAGAATTGATATCTTTGCTATTTTGTCTTCCCATTCAAGAACATGGGATCTCTCTTCATTAGATCTTTGATTTCTTTATTAGTATTTAAAACTTTTCAGCATATAGGTTCTGTGTATGTTTTAAGTTTATACCCAAGTATTCCATTTTCTTTAAGTGGCTGCAAATGTTTCTACAAGTTCACTGCTAGCATTTAGAAACGGGATTAATTTTTTTGTGTGCTGCTCTTGTATCCTGAGATCTTGCTGTACTCATTTATTAGTTCCAGGAGAGTTTTTAAAATTTATGTTTATTTATTTATTTTAGAAAGCAGAATTTATTAAGAGGACATAAAAGCTCCCACTGTGGGAGGGGACCCGAGTGGGTTGCCCCAGGAGAGTTTTTAAAAAAATAAATTATTTGGAACCGGGCGCAGTGGCTCACGCCTCTAATCCCAGCACTTTGGGAGGCCAAGGCGAGAGGATTGCCCAAGCTCAGGGATTTGAGACCAGCCTGGGCAACCTGGTGAGACCTCATCTCTACAATAAATCAAAAAAATTAGCCAGGCATGGTGATGTGTGCCCGTAGTTCCAGCTACTTGGAAGGCTGAGGTGGAAGGACCATGTGAGCCCAGCAGGTCGAGGCTGCTGTGGCTGTGAGTATGCCACTGCACTCCAGCCTGGGCAACAGAGTGAGATTCAAAAAAAAAAAATTTTTTTTTCTAGGTATACGATCATGTCATCTGTAAATAGGGATAATTATATTTCCTTCTTTCCAATCTACAGGCATTTTATTTCCTTCTCTTGCCTATTGCCATGTTTAGAATGTCTGGTACAAGCCTTTAAAAGTTTAATCATTTCTAGAGATTTGCTGAAACAAACTTGCCTGAATGGAGCCCATCAGACTTAAAACTGTGAATCTTCAACATTATTCTTCTCATCCAACCTGCTCAGATTTCATTTCCTGTAATTTGGATGAACAGCTGATAATATTCATCAGTGCCTATAAATGGCATCCACTCTGCCAAGCTCTTTGAAGCAGCAGTGACCTTTAAATAGCTAAGTGGAGCTTGACTATAAGAGCAACCCTAGCATTGGGACATCATCTTTAAGGCAGGATCAGGAGGCAGTGGTGCTCCAAGACTCAATGTCTGAGGTTGACTTATGGAGTATTTGTGAGCATGTGGTTTGTTCTTCCAGCTTTTCCCCTTTCCTCCAAACTGGGGGTGGCAATAACTTTAAACTCTTAAAATAAAAAATACCCTCAAAGGTACCTCATTCTTATGTATTAGAAATTGCCATTGTTAGAAGTCTTTTGACTATGAGCTTATGACAAAGAATTCTGTGCATCTTACTATGTTTTTAGTAAATAGGCACTTAAAATATATTTTGATAGCTCAAATTCTCATCATGTCTTATTTTGTCAAACAAAAGTATATAACCATTTCATTTATTTGAAAACTGTATACTTCCTATATATAGTGATGTGTTTTTATGTTGTACAGCCTGCCTAGCCCATGAGACTTTATAGCCATTATAGAAAGACAGAAAACTTGGGACAGCTCCATCCTTTAAAGGTTTTAATAATCAAATCTATACACATAGGTCTGTGTAGGCCTTAGAAGTGTTCAGATACAGTCTAATTTCCTGCCAACGCTCAGAGCAGGGCATTTAAAAAATCTGTAATGAGAATAAAATTTCAGAGACTTTTTTCCCCCTGATCGCAGTGACAAGTCATTTCCGGGCAAGTTAGTCATTCCCTCTTACCATCACTTTGCTGATTTTCCTGGTTCCATTTCTATCTGTACATTTCAACAACTCTTGTTCTTCAAACTGGAAGTCTTCTAGGAAGCCCTCCACCCATTGTGTGCAGTGAGCTGGTGGGATGTGGTCTTAGCCGCTCTGAGCCTCTGTTTTCTCGTCTGTAAGTGGCAACAGTGACATACATCTCATTGGCTGCAGGGTTTAGAGGAGATGGCTTTTGTCAAGGGCCTGGCCCAGGGCTGGGCAGGGAGCAGGCCCACGGTTATCAACTTCTTTCCTTTCTTCTCTAGTATGCGACCTTTGCTTTCCTAGTCTCCCCGTCTCCTCTTTTACACACTACATCTCACTACAAGGAGATGGTTCTTGCTCTGGATACCACAGCTCGTGCATGTGAGAGAGAAACCCTTGTCAGAAGAGCAGGGATGTGAGCAGCTTGATCACGAAGCAACCCCTTCCTCTTTAATGCACCCCATGGCTCCTCACAGGGAGTAGGGCCATGCACAAAGCCCCAGATGTGCTCACTCTGTTTTCCACCTTACAGTGGGAAAAAGCTCCATTAGTAACCAGTAAGTACATTCTAGCCAGTATGACTTCACGTTGCATGTGCGATCCAGGAGCAGGATGAGAAATCCACCAACAGTCCGCCACCCTCACCCTAAACATCACATGTGGCTGTGGGATGGAAATTCACTCCTTCGTGGCTGCAATGAGCTTAATTAGAACCAAGACTTCGTTGGGCACAGCAAGCAACAGAAATACTCTCACAACACAAGGCCATTACATCACATGTACAGGCATGTTTTGTTTTTCTTACAGAATGAAACAGCAACGGTCTCAGCACGTCCTTTGATCACCAACTATGATTTCCAAGTAGGTGAGTCTGGGTCGAATACAACGGTACAAAGACGAGCTATGTGACGTACCTGTGTGAGCTGGGGATCTGAAAATGACCCCTTTAATCTCAAATCCAGCACAGGTGTCCCTGTTCACTCGCTCTCATCCTGCTGTCAGGATGGCAAGGCTGCTGCGAACCCTTCAGTAAAGAGACAGCAGTCGATAGCTGTCCGGCTGTATCACTTAAAAGGTTTTCATGTGAACACAGACACCGAGGACTTTCTTATGACCCCATCAGGCCTTTCTGGGAACTGCTTTGAAATATTCCTCCCTTGGAATTTCAGATACGCCTCCATACCATTTCTGAAGCCAGATATGTTCTATCCTCATCTTCATAAAGAACCATTCATACTGACGAGGCCACTTCCTCATTCCTGGGTGCCTGCAGGAATAAAGGGAAATCACCATAAAGTTGTTCTTATCAGCGGGGTGCACCCTGAGCTGAGTCACGGGACCTCCAGACTCTGGCCTCTTTTGGGCCGAAGGCAGCTCAACTCAGCCAGAGGAAGAAGCCAAGGAGCCAGTGTCAGCACCTGGGACCACCTTAGGAAGGCAGGAAACGGAAGTTCCTACCCTCAGTGGCTGCAGGCTCAAGTCTTGAGCCAGGCTTCTCGGTTCCAATCTTAGTCCTTCTGCTGATGAGCTGTGACGCCCGTGGGCATTCTCAAGCCCTGTCTCCTTATCTGTGGCATGGGGTGATGCTGCTGGTCCTTACTCGGACTCTAGGGCCTTGCGGGGGAACAAACGAGGAAACACACACAGAACATCCCCACAGAGGAAGGGCCCAGTGGATACAAGTCATCCTTATTAGAAAACATAAAGGAAGGCTTTGTGCATCTCTGGATGAAATGTTAACAAAGTGCTGAGACATGAAACGAGTCTTTTCATGGGAAGATCTCCAGTTCTACAGCCAGCTTAGCACCATCAAGCCACGTTGAGAGCCAGCCCGAGTTGACGGGAACGTCACATTCACCTTTTGCTGTTTACTGAGTCGCCTCCTCCCTCACACTTGCACCCCTAAACACACTGCAATGTCTTTGAGGGCAGGGGCTGTGGCTCACTTTTTCTTTAAACGTCATAAATATTTCTTTTATATCTAAAAATATTATAAACATAATTCAAAGACCAAATCCAAACAGGGAAAAACATTTGTAACAAAACAAGTGCAATAATAGGTTGGTGATCTTTTAAGAATAATTTATTTTGAAAGAATCATAAAGGTACAGGGACATTGAAAATACAGTGTAAAGAACTATTTTCTGGCTGGGACCAGTGGCTCATGCCTGTCATCCCAGCACTTTGGGAAGCCAAAGCAGGAGGATCGCTTGAGCCCTGAAGTTCGAGACCAGCCTAGGCAACATAGCAAGACCGTGTCTGTACAAAAAAGTTTTAAAAAAATTAGCTAGGCATGGGGGTGCACACGTGTAGTCCCAGCTACTCAGGAGCCTGAGGTGGAAGGATCACCTGAGCCCAGGAGGTCAAGGTTGCTGTGAGCTGTGATGGGGCCACTGCACTTCAGTCTGGGCAACAGAGTGAGACCTCAATCCCCAAAACAACAACAAAAAAACCCCAACTGTTTTCTTTCTTTCTTTTTTAAGAAAGCAAGATTTATTGAGAGGACAGAAAAGCTCCCACAGTGGGAAGAGACCCGAAGGGGTTGCCCTATTTTCTTTTCTTAAATATTTGAAGGTTAAGTTGCTAACTTGATACTATTGACATCCCAAATACGCATGCAGCCAAGATAATAACATGATGGTTGTTTTAAGCAGGCTAGTTTTTGTACGATACCCGGAAGTGGGATGCCGGTCTAACAAACCCTAATCTATGGGACGCCGGCTTTGGGCCCAGGCAGTGGAAGGTGGAAGTACCTCGAGAAGACTGGGTGAGGGCTTAAAAAAAGGTCGCACAGCCGGGCTCGGTGGCTCAGCCTGTAATCCCGTGCCTTTGGGAGGCTGAGGTGAGTGGATTGCCTGAGCCCGCGGGTTTGAGACCCGCCTGGGCAGCGAGACCTCATCTCTACAATAAATAAAAAATCAGCCGGGCGTGGTAGCGCATGCCTGTAATTCCGGCTACTCGGAAGGCTGAGGCGGAAGGATCGCCGGAGCCCAGCGGGTCGAGGCTGTGGTGGCCGGGAGCGGCCACTGCACTCGGTCTGGGTGACAGAGTGAGACTCCAACTCAAAAAAAAAAAAAGGTCGCACCTGTAGCCCCAGCTATTCAGGAGGGTAAGGTAGGAGGATAGCTTGAGCCCAGGAGTTCGAGGCTGTAGTGAGCCATGATGTGCCACTGCACTCCATCTAGGCAACAGAGTCAGACCTTACTTTATTTTTTTTTTGAGTTCGAGTCTCACTCTGTCGCTCAGGCTGGAGTGCAGTGGCACACTCACGGCCACCACAGTGTTGACCTGCTGGGCTCCGGCGATCCTTCTGCCTCAGCCTTCCAAGTAGCCAGAACTACAGGAGCGTGCTACCACGTCCGGCTAATTTTTGATTTATTGCTACCACGTCTGGCTAATTTTTGATTTATTGTAGAGATGGGGTCTCCCCAAGTTGCCCAGGCGGGTCATGAACCCACGGGCTCAGACAATCCACTGACCTCGGCCTCCCAAAGTGCTGGGATTACAGCTGAGCCACTGAGCCTGGCCTACCAGACCTCTATTTATTTACTGAGTCAGAGTCCACTCTGTCGTCCAGGCTGGAGTGCAGTGGCACGCTCACAGCCACCGCAGCCTCCACCTGCTGGGCTCAGGCCGATCCTTTCACCTCGGCCTTGCAGGTAGCTGGAACCACAGGCATGCACCATCACACCCAGCTGATTTTTAAAAAATTTATTGTAGGGAGGCGGTCTCGCTAAGTTGCCCAGGCTGGTCTCGAATCCCCGGGCTCAGGCAATCCTCTTGCCCCCGCCTCCTAAAGTGCTGGGATTACAGGCGTGAGCCACCACGCCCGGCTCAGCCTTCCTGTTGCCTTCCCATTTACCCAGGCCAAAGCCCATCAACCTGTTTTCATTGCAGGGCTACGGGGCACCCCATCTCCGACCCTCTGCTCCTGACCACCCCTGCAAGGACACCTCCCTACCCTCAGAGACTCCGACACCCCTTGAAAAACAACCACGCGCCCTCTCCGCCTTGTACAAGCTCTAACCTGGGTGCTGGGCCGCCCTCATCCTCGTTTGGACCCTTCCAGTCATGCTCCTTAAACTTGAACTGCACATGGATTCTCTGGAGCATGCTTTTCACGATTTATTTATGATTATCTATTATTATTATTTTTGAGTTGGAGTCTCACTTTGGCACCCAGGCTGGAGGGCAGTGGCACACTCCTGGCCTCCACAGCCTCGACCTGCTGGGTTCAGGCTCTCCTTCTGCCTCAGTCTGCCAAGTAGCTGGAACTACAGGCGTGCCACCACACCTGGCTAATTTTTGACGTATTGTAGAGACGGGGGTCTCGCCAAGTTGCCCAGGCTGGTCTCGAACCTGTGGGCTCTGGCAATCTTCTCACCTCAGCCTCCCAAAGTGCTGGGATTATAGGCGTGAGCCACCATGCCCAGCTCACTTTTTATGATTTAGATCACTGAGCCTCATTTCCAGAGAATTTGATTCAGTAAGTAGGTCAGGGTGGGGCCCAGAACGCTGCTTCTACGGCAGCATCTTACTGATGGAGCCATGAGAGGAACATCCTGAGAAATGTGACTCTACAGCCCTCCTCTGCCATCGTGCTTTGCTTGGAGCGGAAGTTTGAAAATGCTTGCGGTGCCCACTTGACTGGGAAGGCCCAGTTACTTTCATGGCAAGGCAGGGCATCAGCAAAGGTTGGACATACTAGAAACCATGCCTGGAACAGCTCAGTGGGGTCCTCTCCCAAGGCGGGGTCAGTCCACTGCAGGCCATGCCTGGCTTCTGCTGTCCCTGCAGATGACAGAACCTTAGCCCAAGTGAGTTGGCCGGGTTGCTGTCTTTGTGTCAGAAGCACCAAATAGCACAGCCCTCACCTCTACTTTTCATGACCGTATAGTAAGAGCAATCCAGGTTTAAAGCCTCTACAAACCTTGAAAACATGGCCTGCTTGGCAAATTCTACTTCTTCGGGAGACACTGCGATCATCTGGCCGGTGAGTGTTAGCCGGACACATCGGGGATCTTCTGGGTCGACGATGTTTTTTCTGCATTGCAAGAACCTTTTTTAATCTATTAGAACAACCATAGAACATCAGCCTAAAATATTGAAGTTTTGGGGGTTAATTTTTGGATTTGGAGTCTCACTCTGTCACCCAGGCTGGAGTGCAGTGGCAGGCTCACGGCCACCACAGCCTCAACCTGCTGGACTCAGGCGATCCACTGCCTCAGCCTTCCAAGTAGCTGGAGCTACAGGCATGTGCCACCACACCCGGCTAATTTTTTTATTTACTGTAGAGATGAGATCTTACCAAGTTGCCCAGGGTGGTCTCAAACCCATGGGCTCAGGCAATCCCCTCGCCTTGGCCTCCCAAGGTGCTGGGATTATAGGTGTGAGCCACCGTGCCCAGCCTGAAGAGTTTGTTAAATGACATTCACGTTATTGGTTCTATCATTCAGGTTTCCATGTTGTCTGTAGTTTAAAAAACTTCCGCACAGGCAGTGTGATAAGGGTGTCTGTGTGTTAGATGTCAGTCTGTATCCTGGGGCAGTTAGATAACCTCTGAAGCATCCAGAGTCAAGAGTGCGCTTGCTAGGGTGGAGAAAGTTGGGAGCTGTCATTCCAAGGAAGTTTCAGTTCTGCCAGAAAAGCAAGTTCTAGAGATCTGCTGTACAGCACAGGACCCAGAGTTAGGAAAACGGTATTGTGCATTAAACGTTTATTTATTTTTGATTTTTTCTTTTAAAGATATGGGGTACAATAAAGGGTTAGGCATACAAATGTTCATTATGCAGGTACCCTTGTTCATGAGGTGTGCCCCTCCTTCCCCAGGCAGATTTCCACGCCTGCCAATCCTGCTTCCCCACCCCCGCCCTGGCTGTGTTCCCCCCCCATCCTGCTGCTGCTAATCCCTTTCTTATAGTATTACAATAATTGTTCAAGGTTCGCTTATGAGGGAGAATATGTGATACTCAGTTCTTTGTTTTTGGGAAAGATCACTCAGTATTATAGACTCTGAGTCCATCCAGGTGGCTCTGATGTTCATCATTTTGTTCCTCTTTATGGCTGTGTAATATTTCATTGTGTATATGTACCACATTTTTTTAATCCAGTCCAATTTTTTTTTAATTGGAGTCTCACTCTGTTGCCCAGGTTGGAGCGCAGTGGCACGTTCATGGCCACCACAGCCTCGACCTGCTGGGCTCAGGCGATCCTTCCACCTCAGCCCTCCAAGTAGCTGGAATTACAGGAATGCACCACCATGCCTGGCTAATTTTTTGATTTATTGTAGAGATGAGGTCTTGCCAAATTGCCCAGGCTGGTCTCGAACCCGTGGGCTCAGGCAATCCACTCGCCTCAGCTTCCCAAAGTACTGGGAGGACAGGTTGAGCCACTGAGCGCAGCCTAGCCCCTGGATTTCTTTTTATTTATTTAGTTTTTATTTTTTAGTTTATTTAGTTTTTTTCCACTCACCCAGACTGGAGTGCAGTGGCTGCTCCCGGCCACTGCAGCCTCGACCTGCAGGGCTCCGGTGATCCTTCCACCTCAGCCTTCCAAGTAGCTGGAACTACAAAGGTGCACTACCACGCCTGGCTAACTTTTGATTTATTGTAGAGATGAGGTCTCGCCAAGTTGCCCAGGCGGGTCTTGAACCCATGGGCTCAGGAAATCCACTCACCTCAACCTCCCAAAGTGCAGGATTACAGGTTGAGCCACCGAGCCCGGCTGCCCCTGGATTTCTAAGTAAGCATGTGGTTAGATAAATATGTATGGTGCCAAGAAGCTTCTAAAACATGTTTCAAGGTTTAAGGTTAAAAAAGAGAGAGGAAAAAAACTTTAAAATACATTTTAAGGCTGAGATGTTTGGTTATAGAAGCATGAAATAATGTCTCAGTATTGTTTTAACTCACAATTCCTTGACTATATATTATTTAAGCATGCTTTGTTTTTTTTTTGTTTTTTTTTTGAGTTGGAGTCTCACTCTGTCGCCCAGGCTGGAGTGCAGTGGCATGCTCACGGGCACCTCAACCTCAACCTGCTGGACTTAGGCGATCCTTTGCCTCAGCCTTCCAAGTAGTTGGAACTACAGACCCATGCCACCACGCCCAGCTAGTTTTTGTGATTTATTGTAGAGACGAGGTCTCACCAAGTTGCCCAGGCTGGTCTTGAATCCCTGGGCTCAGGCAATCCTCTCGCCTCTGCCTCCCAAAGTGCTGGGATTACAGGCATGAGCCACCACACCCGGCTCATAATCTAATTTTAGAACACTTTCATGATCATGTATGTAGCATGTCATCAGTCAGAACTGGGCAGCTGAATCTAAACTTCACGTGGCATAACAAAAGTCCCATAGTCAAGATTATTACAGAGAAGAGCAACAAGGTGAGAAGGCTTTCTCTATTAGATAGTGAGCCTTAACGTTAAGCCACATTCATTAAGGTAGCAGGTACTGGTGCAGGGATAGACCACGGGAAACAGATCCATGCATATGTGATACTCGATATTTGACAAAGGCTGAGTTAGAAATCAGTAGGTAAAGTTCTGATTACTCGATAAATGGTGCTGAAAAAAATTAGTTATCTAAATGGAAAAAACCTAAAAAGTAGATCCCTGTATCACACCCCACACAATGTCAATTCTAAACGGAATTAATCATTTAAATTTGTATAATAAAGCCAAGCTCTAATGCTTTCAGGATCAAATAAAGAAAAATATCTTTTATGATATTTTTCAGGGTTAGGAATAATTTCTCCAAAAAGGCACAAAATGCATAAATCATAAAGGTAGATACATTTGACTTGTTAAAATGTAAAATTTTTTCATAACAAAAGAGATTATAAGTCAAAAAAACAAGCCATCCTTTGAGAGCAGGGTTACCAGATTGAACAAGTGAAAATACAGGATGTCTGGTTACATTTGAATTTCAGCACAAATGGCTGAATGCTACCAAATATTTAAAGAAGAATTAATTCTAATCGTCCACAGACTTCTCCAAAAAGCAGAAGAGGAGGGAAGATGTCCCAAATTATTCTATGATTCCAGTATTTCCCTGTGGATATAAGACTGCCAGAGCCACCCTCAGTTCTCACATCATACAGCTGGCTTCTTCAAGGCCAGAGGGACAGCACTTCTTCAGAAAGCTATGGCAGAGTCTTATATGAGGGGTCCTCAACCAGGCTGCACTGCAGGAGGTAAGGGACAGGTGAGCAAGGAAAGCTTCATGTATATATATATATATATATTTATATATATATATATATATATATTTTTTTTTT